CAGCCCGGGCGATTGGTTTGCGACCATCAATTTAACAGACGCCTATTTTCACATAGCGATTCACCCAGAGCACAGAAAATATCTCAGGTTTGCCTTCAAGGGTGTAGCCTACGAGTATCTGGTGCTACCATTCGGTCTATCGCTAGCTCCTCGCACCTTTTCAAAAGTGCGTAGAAGCTGCGTTGACTCCTCTCAGGGAAAGTGGGGTCCGTCTGTTAGCATTTTTAGAAGACTGGGCTCTGATCRCAAGCTCCAAGGAGCAAACATTAGATCAACTGTCCCAGGTTCTGTCACACATTCAGGCTTTAGGGTTTTTAGTAAAAACCCAGAAAAGTCTATTAACACCAAGTCAGCAGYTTTCGTTCCTCGGACTAGAAATCTGCTCCTTGTCAAGCAGGGCTCGCCTCTCAGAAAACAGAGCGGCTGCGTTTCACCGCTGCTTCGCTCAGTTTCAACTGGGATGCAAACTGAGCTTAAAAAACAGTATTACAGTTACTGGGAATGATGGCTTCCATAATTTCAGTAGTACCACTCGGGCTGTTAAAAATGCGCCATTTTCAGCATTGGTCTCAGTCCCACAGGCTGTGTCTGTCTCGACACAGACACAAAAAGCTAACAATAACTGCTTCCTGCATGACGGCTCTCAGCCCCTGGAGGGAACCCGGCCTCCTGTATCAGGGTTCTCCAATAGGGAGGGTGTCGTTTCACAAAGTGGTGTCCACAGATGCCTCCCTGAAAGGTTGGGGAGCCCCGTGCGACGGCGCGGCGGTGAGGGGAACCTGGACTCCACAACAGTCCAAGCTCCACATAAACTGCCTAGAATTGTTAGCAGTCCCGTTAGCACTGAAACATTTTTGTCCAGTTCTGGAGAACCATCATCTTCTAATCAGAACGGACAATACAGCAGTGGTCTCTTATATAAACAGACAAGGGGGGACTCAGTCCCTTCCCCTGCTGAACCTGTCTCACACTCTTTTACAGYGGAGCAGTGTTCATTTTCTGTCTATCAGAGCCATTCATGTTCCGGGGAGACTGAACCTAGGTCCAGACCTCCTCTCCAGGGGCGGACCTCTAGCAAAAGAGTGGAGGCTGCATCCCACTGTGGTGGCCCAGATTTGGGTTTTGTTTGGCAAAGTGACAGTAGATCGATTTGCCTCCAGAGCAAACACACACTGTCCTCTGTTCTTTTCAATGACAGAGCAGAGCGCTCCT